TCCAGTTTTTGGTAGCTCTCGTGTTACTCAGTATTTAGTTTTCTATTATATTTTGGGAATTGTTCTTTGTCCTCTCTTTGTTATTTTGGTCATGATATTGACAATTTTTATAGGACTTTCAAATATTTCCTTGGTATTTTGTCTTGTTTTACAATAGAAAATAAGACACCTATGTAAACATTCAGATCAGACGACTCTTACGGAATCTTACTACTTTAGATTGTGATAATGTGACTCTTTTGAGTTGAAACAACGTTATATCGTAACTGTCAGCAATTAGCGAAGGTCACTGTAAAATTATTGAAGCTTTGATTTTAGTCGTTCGTCTACATAATACTGTTTGTGCCGCTTTTGCGTCAGTGAACACCCCTGTTAAGAAAGTCCGTATGATATTAACATCTACAATTGTAACGTTCTTATTGAGATATTTAACGTTATTCAAAGGGTAAGAGGTTATGCTACAGCTACGAAAGGTGAAGGTGATAATGGAAAAGATCGTCATGTTTGTAATAGATTCTTGTATGAAGTTTTCCAGCTCTGAAAATAACAAGAAAAAGATCCAAAAATTGCGACAGACATCCTAGTGTCTGTGAATCTTAAATATCAAAATCTTTTTTTGGTAACATTTTTGTTTATTGGCGAAAATATACCGTCAAATTATCAGTTGACCATGTGCACATGGAAACAAAGTCGTGAGTCGTCATATCGTCACATTGAATTGCTAGAATAAAACAATTTCGATAAATACAATATAATCGCATATGAAACAACACAAACCTCAGGGAACCGTCCGAATGACATATTATCAAAAATTAATTGGTACAGATAACAGAATGACCTTTGGTTTCAAGGTTTTTATTGTATGACGTCATGTAATATATCACTGTTAGTAATGAGTTACAATGACTAACAGTACTGTAGCTGGCGTGTTTCTGTATATGCTTTAATTCATTTGAATCAAAACTAGCTAAGTTTGTATGAATTATGTTTCATATGCGCAAAAAAAGAAGGCAATCAGTAGGGGTGTACGATAAGTAATCATTGAAATACCAACTCTTTGTTGAAATATCAGTTCACCAAACCCAACATTAATGTTGTCGATAAAAAAATCCAACATTTTGATAATATCTTTTTCGCTGTATTTGTTAATTAAATCAGTGTTTACTATTCTGTTTAATGAGAAAAGTTGCTGATATTCCAATTAAACTTGGAGAATAGTAGTGTAAAGAGTTGGGAAAAATTCAATTATATGATTGCAAAATTAAAGTGATTATTGATTTTGATTTAAGATTTTTTAGCAGATCAGTTTTTAGAAATTCAATTGACATCTCTGGTTGAATATACCCTAACAGAATATTCTAGGTTGTATACAATCGTTTTATTCCCCGAGACAGAATTGCTGAAACCAGGTGTGCGCAGCTTGTTGAGAGATGTCAGGTTTCAATGATTTCACACCTCGTGTAGTATTTGAACTTCATACTGTTTTAATTTAAGCACCACTGATGCAATGAACGCTTAACGTAAACAGCCACGTATCTTAAATGCTTTCTTAAAACCTATTTCAATATGAAGCATGTTGGTTGAAGGAAAAATGAAAAACTGAAAAAGAGAGGAAAACATCCATTTATTATATAGAGAGGAACATCAAGAACACTTTGCATGTATGTTGTATGTCAAAAGTAAGTGCTAATTACAATTATTCACAATTATAGGACACCTTACGGCCTTCAACAATGAACAAAACCCATACCGCATAGCCAGCTTTAAATAGCCCTGAAATGACAAATGTAAAACAATTCAAACGAGAAAACTAACGGCCTGATATTGACAATTTTTCTAGGACTTTCAAATATTTCCTTGGTATTTTGTCTTGTTTTAAATTAGCAAATAAGACACCTATGTAAATGTTCAGATCAGACGACTTTTATGGAATCTTACTACTTTAAATTGTGATAATGTGACTCTTTTGAGTTGAAAAAAAGTTATATCGTAACTGTAAGCAATTAGCGAAGGTGACTGTAATATTATTGAAGCTATGATTTTAGTCGTTCGTCTACATAATACTGTTCGTGCCGCTTTTGCGTCAGAAGATCACCCCTGTTAAGAAAGTCCGTATGATATTAACATCCACAATTGTAACGTTCTTATTGAGATATTTAACGTTATTCAAAGGTTAAGAGGTTATGCTACAGCTACGAAAGGTGAAGGTGATAATGGAAAAGATCATCATGTTTGTAATAGATTCTTGTATGAAGTTTTCCAGCTCTGAAAATATCAAGAAAAAGATCCACAAATTGCGACAGACATCCTAGTGTCTATGAATCTTAAATATCAAAATCTTTTTTTGGTAACATTTTTGTTTATTGGCGAAAATATACCGTCAAATTATCAGTTGACCATGTGCACATGGTAACAAAGTCGTGAGTCGTCATATCGTCACATTGAATTGCTAGAATAAAACAATTTCGATAAATACAATATAATCGCATATGAAACAACACAAACATCAGGAAAACGTCCGAATGACATATTATCAAAAATTAATTGGTACAGATAACAGAATGACCTTTGATTTCAAGGTTTTTATTGTATGACGTCATGTAATTTATCATTGTTAGTAATGAGTTAAAATGACTAACAGTACTGTAGCTGGCGTGTTTCTGTATATGCTTTAATTCATTTGAATCAAAACTAGCTAAGTTTGTATGAATTATGTTTCATATGCGCAAAAAAAGAAGGCAATCAGTAGGGGTGTACGATAAGTAATCATTGAAATACCAACTCTTTGTTGAAATATCAGTTCACCAAACCCAACAACAATGTTGTCGATAAAAAATCCAACATTTTGATAATATCTTTTTCGCTGTATTTGTTAATTAAATCAGTGTTTACTATTCTGTTTAATGAGAAAAGTTGCTGATATTCCAATTAAACTTGGAGAATAGTAGTGTAAAGAGTTGGGAAAAATTCAATTATATGATTGCAAAATTAAAGTGATTATTGATTTTGATTTAAGATTTTTTAGCAGATCAGTTTTTAGAAATTCAATTGACATCGCTGGTTGAATATACCCTAACAGAATATTCTCGGTTGTATACAATCGTTTTATTCCCTGAGACAGAATTGCTGAAACCAGGTGTGCGCAGCTTGTTGAGAGATGTCAGGTTTCAATGATTTCACATCTCGTGTAGTATTTGAACTTCATACTGTTTTAATTTAAGCACCACTGATGCAACGCAAACTTAACGTAAAAAGCCACGTATCTTAAATGCTTTCTTAAAACCTATTTCAATATGAAGCATGTTGGTTGAAGGAAAAATGAAAAACTGAAAAAGAGAGGAAAACATCCATTTATTATATAGAGAGGAACATCAAGAACACTTTGCATGTATGTTGTATGTCAAAAGTAAGTGCTAATTACAGTTAATCGTAGGATTAAACAATAAAAGCTTGTCATTTGAAGATATAATCTCATCAAACTATAATTTCATTTGGATGATAAGTAGCCCTTCAAATACTATTTGTAATGATTTATACATTTTGATTTTCAAACAGACGTCAAGTCCATAAGAACACATAAGGGCAATTACATAAAGACTGGCATGGATAAGAGTTCAATAGTAGTGCTAATAGACCCATTAAATGTTAAAAACTTAATTTGGTGAAAAATAAATGATTTTCTTGTACATGGAACTGCATCATATGGTGGACATATGTGGTTTGACAATAATTATGCAAATTAAATCTGGTATTGACGTATCCAGTATCACAACATGTGTAGACGCGGAACGACATGAAGTATATTATACGGTACTTTTTCATGTTTAAGACCATTTGGTTATAAAACATGGCTGTTTTTGGTTGTTCTATTCTGCTGTCTCACTATCTTTGAACCAATGTTTATACTGATAGCATTACTGTGCAATCTTAATTTCTATCTTCTGGAGCTACTTCACTTATAACGACAGTTACTAGCACCTCCTTTTTAACTTGAAATCAGTTTATAGATATCAAAAAGCAGTATATAAAACGTTGAAATTTCTTCTTTTTAATTAAAAGAAAACACTCACCTGGGTTTAAGCTTCGGGGTTTAAGCATAAGTAGAACAGTCTTATCGTCTTAGTATTATCTGTGTGCCTAGGTAATCTGTTAACTACTTTCAACTTGAAAATACCTTCACCCATTACTGTAAGGTCACAGTACCCAAATTACACCTAGTACCCAATTTGAACCTAATTAACTGCGGAAATCTTACAAGTTTTCTTTGAGACTAAACAATTTTTAACTTTTATGATTTTACATTATACACGTCTTTCACCATAAGTAAATAAATTTGGACAAACATAAAACGTTCACAGTATATATCAACAAATGATGCATTCACTGGAAAAAGTAAAATCTACGGAAATGTCGCCATGCGACGTTCAGAAAAAAATTGTCTTTTAAAAATTAGCAAATAAAATATGTTGAAAGCATCCATTTCTTAAAAATGAATAGTAAGCATGGACTAATGTGAAACTGTTCTAAATATTTGAAGAAATAAAACACAATATCTGTTATTTGAATTTTAAGGATGTGAATTTAAGCATGGATGCAATTTGGGTACTCCTCATTACAGAACCATTGATCGTTTGGAGGTCGGTTCAAGCCCATTTTTCTACGGGTCACTTTGGATTCAAAATTGGTGTAACTATATAGTAAAACTAATACAGATACCTCTACAAAATAAACACAGAATGGAAACTATTGTCTGGATCATAAAAAAAACGTAGGTGAAAAAACTGTCAAAATAGGTGCAATTTGGGTACCTTCAAGTTATTATCATTGTATTGCATGTAAATGAAATTTAAAACATACTGCAGAAACAACATGACAAATGACAGATTTTCATTTCAGTTTATGTGATGTTCCATTTTAACAAGTCCTATATTTAAATATATAATATTTCCATGGATTTTTCAGGATTGCAAGGACCTGTAAATAATGGGCAGTCGAACTAACTATGCGGTAAAAGCTTGCATATCTTGTCGTCAGAACAGTAATAATCCAGACAGCATACAAAGTGCGTATTGCATCGTATAGGACAGTTATGTCTTTTAACAAGCCTAAAACAAACAATTACGAGAATAAATTCAGTCAATAAAAAAAATCAATTCAAATGCTTTGTTGTTTTAGACAACAGTGTATCATGTGTATATCTGTGCATACAAAATGTACTACTTGAGGCAGGAAACCATTCGTTTTTACGACTCAATTCGAGCAAATGTAAACGTTTTAATAGTTATTAAAGGTACGAGGATTATAATTTAATACGCCAGACGCGCTTTTCGTCTACATAAGACTCATCAGCGACGCTCAGATCCAAATACTTATAAAGCCAAACAGGTACACAGTTGAAGAGCATTGAGGACCCAAAATTCCAAAAAGTTGTGCCAAATACGGCTAAGGTCATCTATTCCTGAAATAAGAAAATCCTTAGTTTTTTCGAAAAATTCAAAGTTTTGTAACAGGAAATTTATAGAAATGACCATATAATTGATATTCATTTCAACACCGAAGTGCTGACTACTGGGCTGGTGATACCCTCGGGGACGAAACGTCCACCAGCAGTGGCATCGACCCAGTAGTGTAAATAGTTATCAAAGGTACCAGGATTATAATTTAATACGCCAGACGCGCGTTTCGTCTACATAAGACTCATCAGTGACGCTCAGATCAAAATACTTATAAAGCCAAACAAGTACAAATTTGAAGAGCATTGAGGACCCAAAATTCCAAAAACTTGTGCCAAATACGGCTAAGGTCATCTATTCATGGGATAAGAAAATCAGTAGTTTTTCGAAAAATTCAAAGTTTTGTAACAGGAAATTTATAAAAATGACCATATAATTGATTTCATGTCAACATCGAAGTGCTGACTACTAGGCTGGTGATACCCTCGAGGACGAAACGTCCACCAGCAGTGGCATCGACCCAGTGGTGTAAATAGTTATCAAATGTACCAGGTTTATAATTTAATACGCCAGACGCGCGTTTCGTCTACATAAGACTCATCAGTGACGCTCATATCAAAATAGTTATAAAGCCAAACAAGTACAAAGTTGAAGAGCATTGAGGACCCAAAATTCCAAAAACTTGTGCCAAATACGGCTAAGGTCATCTTTTCCTGGGATAAGAAAATCCTTAGTTTTTCGAAAAATTCAAAGTTTTGTAACAGAATATTTATAAAAATGACCATATAATTGATATTCATGTTAACACCGAAGTACTGACTCTGACTCCTGGGCTGGTGATACCGTCGGGGACGAAACGTCCACCATCAGTGGCATCGACCCAGTGGTGTAAATAGTTATCAAAGGTACCAGGATTATAATGTAATACGCCAGACGCGTATATAAACTAGTAAACCAATATAGGTCTGAAACGGCTCTTAAAAGACTGAAGAATTAATTGTAAAGTCATGTTTAGTCTTTTGGTCAATTTAAGACTTATCAACTGCGGTAACTTTTATACTGTTCAGGCAATTCGCTTGCAGTCAACTAAGACATATTTATTCTATGTTCAGACTGTTCAGTAGTTGCAATTTACTTGTAGACTTCAACATCATACCCAATTATCTGAATATATACTGAACTGTATCGAATTGATTTAAAGCGAATTCACTGAAAAGTACTGAATTTAACGCAGCAAATACGTCAGAAAATTGACTGAAACACTGAAAATGAAAAATCAACTAATTGTTCAGAGTTTTCAGACGATGTTAAGATCAACATGATCGCTAAGTCTAAAATGAATAGTTTTTTTTTCTGATGGAGGTCTATATCAGTAAGTTGCAATACTAGCACACATTTCGGATACTTTATTTCGTACTTTCACATGTATACGTCTAACGTAACACACACAAATTAAGAGAATCCCATATACTTCAAAAAGAAAGAGTGACCGGATGTATGCGTCCACGAGGTCCGATCTGCAAAATGTGTTTTTTTCTGAATTCAATTTTTTCTGTTTGATTAAAAGTTTTTGCTAAATCGACACATTTATTTAGATTTAAAAAAAAAATATTGCATTTTTTGGGGGATATCAAACCAGGAAAATGGAAGGATTTCGTGTTTACTCGAAGTGGTGTGGCCTAGAAAAACCGCAAACAGAGAGTAGAAAAAAAGTAGTTTTGACTTCAGGGTTTCATAACTTTTTATTCTTCGTGGCATGACCCGCTTTTTTTTTTCCATTACATCACAATTTCACATTACAGCATACATGATATGTGCATGAAACAAATTTTCTATGTAGCATTTTATTTTTAAAAAATTTCAAAGATCACCTGTTTTGCATGTAAGCCTATGGAGTAGTCAATTACAAGACAGCAACCTGCAGTTATAGCAAAAGTTTTGAACCAAATATTTGTATCAATGAATAAATTTGATGATTGTTTTAGGTTTTTAATGAAATTGCTGAATAGATTATTTTCCATTTATACAAAGCATGCATATATTACATCTATATTCTAATAAGAAACTGCAACCAAGAGTGTACATTTGTAGCTCTTTTGACATGGGATAAAAAAAAAAATTTTCTAAATTAGTTCTAAAACTATGTAATTAAGACCGCTTTAAACAAAAGCATCTTCGCGTGACATCATATTTGGTGTAAGATATATGTCGCAAAACTTCATAAACAAAACCTTTGGATTTTTGGAGAATTTTTTTCAGGGTAATTCAGTAACTTAATCATTGTCTTGATATTTTATCAGTAAAACATATATAACATTTGCTAAAATCTAAAACGTCACTACAGACACGATCATTATTTAACTGATGTTTCTATATTGTAATATTCTCCTTTTTTAAACATTGTTATTTCAAAATCCTCGACAAGGTTGCGCGCCTGCATGAATTTCTCTTTTTATTTTTTATTTTCAACATTGTCTTGCGATACAAACACACACAAACCTTTCAATTTATGATTGGTCATGACTTTTGCATTGTTATGACAGATATTATAATCTACAATACACTAAATGCGACTATGACATATGTTGTTACTTTTATTGAAACGGTACAGGTTTTTTTCCATTGTGCATATCATTTTGATATATAATAGTTTGTAATAAATTTGCTGTATTCAAACCGACTAGTTCGTCCATTAACAGACTGTTTCAGACCTAAACGCGACTCACTCGAACACGTCGAATAATCAAACTATACGAGCCAACTTACTTATGAATAAGGTCTTTGTCTTCAAGCATTTCTGCATGTGCCATGTTGACTGAAAGTAAAATACTGTTTATATTAGATATCGTGACCAGGTTATATATTTTTCTCATGCACCACGAACATGTCGAAATTTAATAGCATTTCCCCGTTAAGAAAAGGTTGCGAAATACACTGTCATGCAATTTGGATTATCCTTCATAAGTAATGATCAAATCGAAACCAAATTAAAGATTATGATGTAAAAAAACATCAACTTGAATACGTGTTGATCTGTGTAATTAAAAACGGGACCTAAAAGGACTAACCAAATAGTCATTAGGTCAATCTATCCTCCCGATGTTGGCACTTTAGATTCTTAAAGTTTGAAAATTTATCAACGAGGCAGTAAAGAAATATATTTCATTAATTGCGTCAGTACTAAAGCACTGATTACTGAGTTAATACTGCCCGCGGGGACTAGCAGATACTCAGTAGCGGTACCAACCAAGTGTTAGAAAATTGAAGTAGCACTTTATACTTTTGATGAGTCCCGAATTTAAAATCAAATCAGTAGTATTCTCTCCACTCATGCACGCACATACACATACACCTAAACAGTTTTAACAGTAATTCATAATGAACAAAATATATTTCGCTTGTGTGTTCGTTTGTTATATATAATTGTTTGCCAGCTCTCAATTTCAAACATAACCCCCTTCTCAGTTATTCCATATTTATTGTTAGTCTTTGACATAAGCATAATATAAGTATAACTTATACAGTGTTATATTATGTTTCAGAATAGTATCTTTTCTTCTTTATTAATTTAGGTCAATTTTGTTGTTAAACGGACTAAAGGATGTTTCTGATATTTTTAAAATCCAACTAACTTCATTTTTTAAATCAAAATCTTTAATTGATTGCGCTTTTCTTATTTTGCTTTTAATTGGAAGGTAATTAAGAATCGTCCCCATTCTATTCCTCCACTCATTCTTATACCCCTTAACTTTCAAACTTTCAACGCTACCTTTCCATAAAAAGAAATACAAGTTACAACAAAAGAAGCATGCAAAGAAGGAAATGGTGGTTATCTGTCAATAGTACATCGTTCCAAAAAATGACCTCTAGCATTCAGCATAGTCTTCAACTATAGCCAAATGTCTTCCCAATTTGTGAAACTAATAACCTTCTACAGTTTATAAAAGTTGTTTTTAAATTTAGAGGAAACAATCACAAACCTACCATCAACACTGAATTCTGAACATAACAGAAATTTTTTTTTAGATATGACACCACTGCAATTCCTGCAAGCTCCTGACTATGGACAGACACACGAAAATATGGCGTTGTTAAATCTTTTTTATATCGGAACCGCCTCCTTGTAATTGCGACCAATGAGCTTGCAACGGGTACAGAAGGAAGTTTTTAAAAAAACTGTTAAAGTAGTTAATGTTTGACGTAATCGGTTAATGATTGGTGACACGAACATGACAGGTCCTTGAATGAAAGATGATCGATACCATGAAGGTTATTTGACTTATCAGACCGAATTCTATTTGATTATTACCGTGACAACCGTCTACGATCAGTCAATAACCTGTAAGTAAGGATGGGACGGATACATATAAAATTAAAATTATAACTCTGCAATATCTACATATGATAAACGCAGACCTTTACCCGATAATCAGTATCCAACTTAGTCGCAAGGACAAATGCAAAGCAAATATATAAATTACTCTTAAAGTATTATATAATTATTTCATTGTTGGTACTTTTACTTTTTTGACTAAATAAGATACAAAATTGCAGCATAATGACAGATTGTTTCTACATCACTCAATATCGACAAAATGCTATCATCTGAAATCAGTACCGTCTTACACAATTATACATTGTAATGCCACTAGATGAGTTAGTTTTCGTAAAATGTAAACAATACAAAAATAAAGATACTTTAAGCTTAGTGTTAAATAGGAGTTTAATCACTTCTTCGTTTTAGAGAAAATCCTCTATCGTCATTGGTTTTTTTGGGATACTTTTTAAACTTCAGGATGGGGTGTTTTTCAAAAACCTGATAAAACATAAATCAGAGAAAAAAATTAATAGAAACAAAGCACTGCAGTTAGTCGTTTAGATGCATCCTGACGAGTTTGTGTATGTTCTCTCTTTGGATATAACTATTTCTGTACGTTGGGATACGTTGTTCTCCATAAAATATAATGAATATAATCCATCTTATATGTTGTTTGAATATTTTTAAGGGTGTCCATAATTTATATTTTATATTTTTGGAATTTATTCGTCAAAATTGGCAGTATTTGATTGTTAGATGATATTAGAATATTTTTTATCAGAATTTTCTAATGCGATAAACACCGTTTCAAACTCTCGCAGGGTTTGATAAAACTAAATGCTTTTACATTTAGCCAATCGGAATTCTTTAAGAAGTTTATATTTAGATGTAATCTACACAATTCACCTCTCTTCAATCAAACGTTAAAATATGAATTGTGAATTTTTGCTGAATGAATAAAATGAAATGTCAGACTTCGGCACTTTAACGATTTGTATTTTTCCGTTGCGTTATCTGAAGTAAATGAAACGAAAATTTCGTAAAATTTCAACATGTGACGTAGAAGAATTCAGTCATTCAGAAAGGTCAATCCGTCAGATCAGTCCGATTAGTAAAAGACTGACGGATTCGTGACGTGAGCTTGACATTAACTTGACAGATCGATGACTGACCACTAAATTAGTAACGCGTACGGTTGCAAGTATTTTATTCCTTAAAAATGTTCTACTGCTTGCAAAGTTGAGATAAATTTAACATAATTGCTATTAACATATATACTAATATTAAACACTTCATGTTTATCGTTCTTATTGTTTGGTTTGATTGCTGTCTCGTTTATGTATTACAAATTATCGCATTTATTCTTATCAAAAATGGTTTATATTTGAATTGACGATACTAACAAAACTCAAAATTTGTGAAGTAGTTTACACTCACATATTTGGAGAAAAAAGGCAAAGAGTTTAACGGTGACACCATGACAGGCAAAAACTTGTCAATACAGAAACTGTATTCCTGTCGGTAGAATACTAAATGAATTTCATCAGCCATGAATATGCAATAAAATTGAGAATGGAAATACAAGCATTTTTTTGTTACTGAACACAAAGATCATTCCGAGACGAAAAAGAAAAAAAAACCAAATTGGCAAATTACAATCAAACGTTCAATTTTACAGAGATTCACATTTTTGCTTACCTCTCTCGAACACTAGCAACAGACAGACGACTAAACAAACAGAAACCATTATTCTTCTTTTTGGTTCTCTACAACAAATGATAACATTTGTGAATATTTTTGCCATGATATGTCGTTATATAAAACGAAGGGAATAAGTTTTTAAAATGACAATGGGAGACGACTGTAAACAGCAATTGCAAGACATTCGTATGCGTACAATCCAATTCTCCTTCTTCTTTACTATGGGTTCACACAGGTTGTCGGGACTATATATGTTTTGTCCGCGGTTACCGTTTGTCTTAATTTCTTCTCTTTTTTTTCATCAGAAGTTCAATTTGCATTATTCTTAGAATATCCATATCATCTAGTTTACATATTATTTTGAGTTTATAAATTAACTGAATTCCAAGAGAGCAAATTCCTCAAAAGATTATTTGAATACTAATGCAAAGAAAAAAGTGACTGTTTTAGTCGGATTCATTCTACTGATTTTAGTCAGGACTGGTTTTACATGTTTTCTATTGAAAGATACATTAAACATTGGTAAAGGTAAGTAAGGTAAGTTGTTAAATATGGCTGACGACTACCAATTAGCGATATTTCAAAAAGTTTGTTATGTTCTTATCTATCATTAGCCTTTTGTAAAGTGTCAATGTCTTGGGGTTCGGTATTTTTATTTTACTTTTTTCCGATACCTGTGCAAGCGGACCACCTTATAATCAAACAGGTACATGTCATGAGTGCTTCATCACTAAATGTAAATTTACTTTCTGTTACAGCAAGTGCTAAAAATGTATCACGTTGTTTCGTGCATCAGACTTTCATATCGTACAGATGTCATTAGAAGGGATTAACAATAACCGTCGGATTCTGAGTACGAGTAGGAATAAGACTAAAAGTCATACAGGTAAGCTATAGGGGCGATCTCGCAATGTGGAAATGTAATAATAATGTGTAAGCCAATTGATTTTACCGTGCAACATCTTTGCGTTTTTATCGAGAAAAAAAACATTTATCAAATAATTGATGGGTTTTACTTTTTTTTTTTTGTTCTACAGAAGAGTAGAATAGCCTTATCGTTTACGGTGGCTAATTGATATTTTCAGAATTTTAACAATACTTTCACAACGACAAGGGGATTGGAAAAAAATTTGAATAGGTCAGGTTTTTTTAATTTCATTTTTGTTTTGGGTTTATTTTGTCACTGTGTATAGTATTGTCACATTCTTTATGTGCATGTCACAAGTCAGAGCATGTAGTACAGTGGTTGTCGTTGGCTCGTGTCTGTCATATTGTTTTTCGTAAATTCCTTTGTTATGAATTAGATCGTTAGTTTTCTCATGTGAACTGTGTCACCTTTTCATGTCGATGGCCTTTAAAAAACGACTATACAGTAATTGGTTTTTCAATGTTGAATGCCGTACGGTAGCCTATAGTTGCTTACTACCCCTTCATTTTGACTCTGGTGGATAGACTCATTGGTAATCATACAACATCTACTCAGTTTTATCATGTTTATAGTCTTAAGCTTGGAGGATAGGATAAACATGATAAAAAATAACTTGTCTTGTTATGATTCGTAGTCGGACTGGTGTCAGACTTATTGTAAATCTCTATTAGGACGGATGTGCCTCTAAAATCACAACTGAAAGCATATCAATGCAAGGTGAAATTAATGAAAACAAATGACAATTAAATGCAAAAAATGTATCACGTTGTTTCGTGCATTAGACTGTCATATCGTACTGGTGTCAAAGGCATACACTAATTGTAAATCTCTACTAGGACGGATGTGCCTCTAACATGTCTAACATCACAACTGAAAGCAAATCAATGCAAGGTGAAATTAATGAAAACAAATGACATATTATCATCATATTAAAAAACTGAATGTTAATCCATGTTTATAATAAATAAAATTTTGTATGTTAGTGTCGTTCCACATTTTGCATGAAGCGCGTAATTGTTTCTTACTTTTAAATGCGCTGGATTACATTCTTTCATATCGCTTAAAACTTGCATTCAGTTTTACAATTCATATGACTGCAAAATCTACTTACATAGGAAATTCCGTCTGAAGTCTTTGAATATTAAGCAATTATCCAGCTTTTATACACGACTATGACACAAGGAAAATATAAACGACAACAAATTTAAACTGACGTATCCTGCTTTGCAGCTAAAGGTCTTTTCATTGGTAATGTTCCGTTACATGATTAACTAATTTTAATGATCAGAAAATGCACGTTTTCTTTTATGGATCCTTGTTGGAATACAAAATAAATTTTGACAATTACTAAGTGTTATGTAATATGTCAATATGCAATTTAAAATAGATATAGGAAGAAAAAAGTTCATAATGATGAGAAACTTATTACTGCGATGCATGACAACGACACACATAAAGGAAGAAACTAATGCAATGGTATGTACATCGAGACAATATGTTAATTAAAGTATCCTGTTTTGCAGCTATAGGTCTTTTCATGGTTATTGTTCGATTACATGATTTATAAATTCTAATGATAAAAAAATGCACGTTTAATTCTGTATATCCGTTCGATTACATAATAAATTTTGACAATAAATAAGTGTTATGTAATATGTTTAGATACAATTTAAAATTGCATAATGATGAGTTATTTATCACTGAGATGCATGACAATGGAACATACATAAAGTTAGAAACCAATGCAATGGTATGTACATAGAGGCAATGAAAACGATGTCTGTCTTTAAATTTTAAAAAATTGTATCAAACATTATTTATTTCAGATGCTTATTCAAAACTTGATGAATGCATTTCTGCTTGTTTTTCTTTAAATTTCAGTATAAACATCAACTATTACCACAGAAAAGCTAAGCATCACTTATTCAGGTGTAAAGCGTTTACAAAAAGCAGCGTCACATACACATGATAAATTCATCAGATATAAAAAAAACCTTGGTCAAATGCAGAGAATTTTCTATAACCTATAATGCTTAGTGAGTCCGGTAATATTGAGTATGAATAGCTCGTTGATATTGTTTTAATATCAAAGATACATTTCCAGATTCTTTTGACATTCTTTGATCTTTGACTTTAGACATGCTTTTTTACTGATGTACCACATTTTGATTAGGTATTTTTTACAGTATTTTACATATTTATAATTTCCTTTTCCTACGTTTTTACCTCGAATGCTTTTAATCTTGTCACAGAGAGACAATTAATTGCGATAAACATTAAGGCAACGAAATAAAACAAGATATGTTAAAGTCACATACCTGATAAGAATTATGTAGATACATATATATGTAGACATAAATTTAGTTCGGACAAAGGTTTTTCTTGTAATAAATTGAAAACTAATTGCAATACAATTACAACAACTTACACAATGTTACATGAACAACACTACCGGTGCCACATGTGGAACAGGATCGTCTTTACCTTCCGGAACACCTGCGATTATCTCCGTTTTTGCTAGGGTTCATGTTGCTCAGTCTTTACTTTTCTGTATTATATTTTGTCTTTTCGCAGTTTTTTCTTGTTTTTTTTTTTTTTTTGCCATGGCATTGTCAGTTTGTCTTCGACTTATGAGTTTGAATATTCCCGTGGTATCTGTCACCTCTCTTTTAGAACGTGCAGTAATAATCTTTAAAATCATATATCTTAAAAACGCAATACTAAATTATTATTTATAATTCTCATTTTAAAAACATTACTACATTTTATAAACTTAGCAGTTCGAACGTTGATTTGATTACGTCATGTTCAATGTTCTAATCGTGTGGTATGCACTGAAACTCTGGTTTCCCCCTTATCAATGGACGGGACCATCGAATCAATGGCTGCTTGTATCCAACGCCTAAATTATTGACAGAAAAATTCAACTAATTCTGTTTCGCAGGATCTGAGTTAGGTACATGTATTGTACCTTCTGATTTTGCCGCTTTCCCACTCATTACAGTGTGTTTGGGCCATTATGTTTAAACTTGGAGACTTAAAATGTGTTTCAGAAGTCGATTCTTTGACATTTCAGTATATGGGAAACATTCATAGCTTGATTCTGTATGCTTTAGCATTTGACAACTTGATAAACAGTTGATGTTGCGGACGTGAACATGTCTCGCAAATGACGTTTATTGACGTAGCATTTTCACTGTATATGGATCTGTCATGGGGTTCATCAACAATCCCGTCTGCCTGTACTGTTGTTTTAAGGACATTACGATGAGTTTCTGACGTGAAATTGCCTAACAACAGCACGTTCATGTATTCCTGTCTGCAATATTCTTATGGTCGTATTAATATGTTCATTGCTCAATCTAGGTGATATGGAAATGTAACATGTTTTTACTGATTAAAGTGTTGGCATGAATAGAAAAAAAAGTTTCACGAAGAAAAAAAACCATTAAAAATAACATTTATGAGTTTCAAATATCGCTTTAAGAAAATTGTCTGACGTCATCAATCTACTATGTTCATTATTATCTCTGTTTGTTTTGTTCACACATTGTTGTCAATATAATGGAATTTTATGCGACTGTCATACAAGTGAGAGGTTAAGCTAACTATAAAACCAGGTTTAATCCACCATTTTCTACAGAAGGAAATGCCTGTACCAAGTCAGGAATATGACAGTTGGTTTCCATTCGTTTGATGTATTTGAGCTTTTGATTTTGTCATTTGAAAAGGGACTTACCGTTTTGAATTTTCCTTGGAGTTCGGTCATTTTGTTTTTTTACTTTTTACCTCAAGGAAGTCATGTTTTGAATTTTTTAAACAGAAAGAAGTCTGGTAAGCATGAATGGTACTTACATGCAGATTAATTATGATTTGGTAAAACAAATCTCCAAAATTTATGTTGCGTTTTTTAATTTCGTCAGTATATTTGAAGATATTCATGAGTGTTTCAGACTACAGACAATTTTGAATTTATTATTTAGTTTTGAAAAAGAGAGGCGAAAAGATACCAAAGGGTCGTTCAAACTCATAAGTCGAAACTAATTATGTTTAATTATAGTTCATGTGTTTTTCAAACTTAAATGTGACAAATATCGGTATCCTGCTTTCGTTGAAAATAATGCACTACAAACTGTCATTGGGGGTCCGTTTATATAATAAGTTAGTTTAGTTCGTATAATTATAAAAATAGGAATATGTGGTATGATTGAAAATGAGACAACTCTCCACTAGAGACCAAATGACATAGAGGTCAACAACTATAGGTCACCGTACGATCTTCAACACTGAGTTTAACCCGTATAGTAAGCAATATAAGGCCCTGAAATGACAAATTTAAAATAATTTAAACGGGAACACCAACGTCCTGTTTTATGTACAATACAATAAACGATATACGAATATGATATACAGCATCCACAACAACCTTTAAATTGCAGGCGCCGGATTTGGGACATGCACATACAGACTGCGACTGGCTTAAATATGGTTGCTTGTGCTAATCCTTTCCTAACAGAGGATGGACAACACGTACCAATATTTTTTGAAACAAAAATCATATCTCGTCTGAGAAAAAGTCAAATAACAAAAACATCGAACTCCATGGAAAATTCAAATCGGAAAGTCTCTTATCAAATGATAAAATCAAAAGCTCAAACACTTGAAACGAATGGAAAACAACTGTCATATTCCAGACTTGGTACAGCCATTTCCTTATGTAGAAAATGGTAGATTAAACCTGGTTTTATTGCTAGCTAAACCTCTCACTTGTATGACAGTCGCATAAAATTCCAAATATTGACAATTTAGTTTTAGTTATTTTGGGTTATATAGTTCTTACAATTATTCATTTATATATATTTACCTGTTCCCAACTTAAGGCTAGCTTACAGCTGGCAAATTTTAATTGATATTTAAAATGATTGTCGCGTCTATCATAAGTTCGTTTTTGAAGTCGTCCTGCTTTGCCAATATCCAGTAAAAGATTCAAACAACCTTATGGTATTTTTAATATGTTATGATGTATAAGAAGAACCTCAAAGACATAAGGGTAAATGAGTTTATTGAAGGTTTTTTTTGTTGAACTATCATTACACAAAAATGAACAAATAAAAAAAGTTGTATTCAATCTTTCGGTGTATTTATTGATGGAATTAGTGTAGTTCTTTACAAAGATTATTCGTATACTAACACAATTAAATTGTATCTACGATTGAGTGAAAAGATTTTCAAAAATATTTTTTTTTTTTTTTCAATGTTATTTATCTTCAATTTTTATTTGATAATGATTATAAGCCTGGCATATTTAATAAATATTTTTTGTATTTAATTCAACATAAAACATGCTGTTAATTCATGAGAAATGATAAACAGACTTAGAGGGGATATGTGCACTGATCATAGGGAAATGAATATGTGTGTAAAAAAAGTATTTACAAAATACCGAACTTAAAGGTAAATTAAAAAAGGGAAGTTCAAAGAGACTGACAAAATCGAATGTTGAACTATATTTACCATTGAAACGAATATTGACTTGGTACAGGCATTTTCCGAAGGCAATGGTGGGTAAAACCTGGTTTCATAACTAAACATCCCCTAAACATGTGTTTGTGTGTGTGTGTGTGCGTGTATGGTGGCATGTGTTCTTGCTGGTTATTGTTATCTTCAAAATATTACTTCATTTGTTTATATGCAACCTTTGAACTACTACATGTTATGAGTTAAGCGTTTTTTATCTCCAAAGTGAGCTCATTTTGTAACCCATTAAGACTATCCGTACGTAAACCTTTACACAATGCCATTTTTAGAGTCCTTTAGCAGATTCCTGTAGTGTGAATATTGTTTGATAATTAATCCTTTGGATTGATTGTACTTGATATTTGATACTTGGAACTGCAAAATTTGTTGTACATATAGGTCATCACAATGATAATGCAAATCAGATATGTTGCTGCCGTATCCTTTTAATCACAACAAGTACAGACTCGAGACGATTTGGAGGCTACTGTATGATGCTTTGCAATATTTAAAGCCGTATGATGATTACCGCTTGCTGTTTTGGTTGTCTTTGTTGCTGTCTCATTGACGTTTATCTTTGTGCCAGTGTTCACATTAACAGCATAATCGTGTAATCTACCTTTCGATATCAAAGTTCTATCTTCTAGAGTTACTTCACT